ACAACTGTGGCTGCCGCGATCGTAATGCTTGGTATGACAAGTCACAGTGGCTGTGGACGTGGCACCGTTTGTGGCGATGCTGTTGACGCCATCGACGATCGGAAAGACGGCAGCAAAAGAGGAGACCAAAGAAGAAGAAGCAGAACATGAGGAAGAATTGGAAGAGCTAGATCCGGGTGAGGAAGAAGCGAAACCAGAGACAAAGCTGGAGATCCCACTGTCCCTAGCAGCCGCTGGGCTAGCAAGCGCGTTGCTCAGAGACACCGAAGTGGGGGTGGTGCCAACGCCACTGGTTGCAGTAGTTTGGGCAGTTGAGTCTGATTGCCAAGGATGGTTCGACTTCAGATCTGAACTAATAGAAAGCGGAGGAGCAATTGCTTGGCAAAGTGTCTCATCTGATTGTAGAGTCCCGGGAAATTCAAGCTCAGGACGAAGAGTGTCATTGCTCGATGAGACGGGGCCAGAGAATAGTGGCAAAGTTCCATTAACAGACGCCTTGGTAGGTAGAGTAGAGTGGCCGGATTCTGGGTTTGCATACCCTTCTGGACCGAGCTGAACGATTAGAGCAAAAAAAGTTAATAAGCAGAGTAAAAAGATACTATAAAAATAAATGGAATACAATTCAATCAATAAGTAATATCAAAGAGGATGCAATAGTATTACATTAATTATGCTGTCGTGTTGTCTATGGAAGGCATATAAAATCAAGTGATAAAAAAATAACTCCGCCATGCAAAAAATAAAATAAGGAGCTAAAAATGGCATCTAGTTATTCAATAGTTCAATCAGCCTGCTATTTCTCCACTTGTAATGTTAGATAGTGATAAATATGTATACTTATACAAGCATCTATAACCAAGAAAACTATCGTCAGCAAGTTGATTAAATTAATTTTTTTTAATATGTACTTCTTATAAGTTGTTTTTATATGTTGTTTTCTCGGTAGATGTTGTGGTCCACCTAGCTCCACCAATAAGGGACTGGAACAGTAATCGAGTGGTTTGGTCATAAAAAAGCTTAAGGAAAGCACGAGCAGATAACATGAACTAATTATAGCGAAAAAGAGGATAATACAATCCATTTCTCATGTAATGACTGATATGGATAAAACTGAAAAAGGCTTAAGAGCCACGGATAGGATTAGGCAGATACATAATAAAAAGCTCAGGAATTTAGGAATTTGAATAATATCGGGGATTTTTGCGTCTAAGGTAAGTCGTAATAACCATGCTGATAACAAATTTGTGAAGAATAAGGTAATTAATTTATTCAGTATAACTCTTGAGGAAAGCGTGGAGTCTTAATTAATAAAAGGAATGAATTTTTTTCTTACAAATGACAGACTAGTTACGTCAAAGAAATCTTTTGATGTGAAGACTTTCATTTCGTATGGAAGTACGTGATGAATAGATTCGTAGATCAATCTCACCACAAGACATCGGCTAATTCGCATTGTACTGCAGCCATTTGGCATTATTACGACGTTCGGGTTGATGCAGTCCACGAGACATCCTCCAACGCTTCGGGCGCAGATCGGACGAGTTTTCGCTCGTCATGTGACGAACATCGTCTAAGCTGGGAACCATTCTTGCAAAAGCCTCTATTTAACACTAGGGGTAAACAAATCTCATATAAGATGTATTCACCCAATTTCGTTTAAGGTGATGAAGGACTGGTAGAAGAATTTTTCCCACAATGATATGAGTAGAGCTGACGATTCCATAGCCTTGCTTTCCCAAAAGTTGTTATCATCTAGGGTGGACTGCAGTTTCGACCTCGCATCGGTCTTATCAACAATGTGACCGAGTGGTTAACGTGTCAAGCTCACATTCTGTACTGTCACGATTCGACTCCCGCTGGGGTTGTTGATAAAACCTATGCGACGTCAAAACGGCAGTCCATCCTGAATGATAACAATCTTTGGGAAAGCAAGGCTATGTGAATGGAAACGTCAGCTCTACTCATATCATTGTAAGAAAATTCTTCTACCAGTCCTTCATCACCTTAAACGAAATTGGGTGAATACATCTCATTACACTGATTTACGTCTAGAAACGCTACTTAAATACGAAAAATTTCATATAATTAATTTGCTGGTAGTCCCGAAAGCCTACTTACAAACGAAAAATAAAAGGAGGATGCTTTAAGGAGAACCGAATAGCAACTATATACGGCCAGTCTTCTTGAACGGGTGTGAAAATAAGAAAGACATTTTGGTAACAAGATGTTTGTCATAAAACAGTCGAAAACCCACCATGTGGGATATTGTATATTTTTCAACACATCTTGGTAAAAAATATGGAAACAACTTTGTTTTGGGGCTCAATTTTAAGTTATGGAGAAAAAAAGTACCTTCGAAATTCAAAGTCTTCAGCATAGCTCTCAAAGTAACCCATAAATGTACAGTATTAGTACTAGGCACACATTAATTTGGTTTACCTGCCAATCAAAGTAGGCCCGGTTTATGACCAAGTCTTCTAAGCTCCCATCGGCCACTGATGAGGCCATTGGAGCTAAGTGCGAATCATGGCAACCACCGACAATGTTGCTAGCAACAGCGGGCTGGCTATAGACGCCGATCGAGCAGGCGGGACAGCAGCTTGGGCTGGCCGGTCCGCGAACTCCCGGCCGCCGAGTGCCTGCGGTACGCTTTTCAGCACGGATGCGAGAATACTCCCGCCGAAGACGGTAATCTCGATAGGTGGTCTGTATCAGCCGTGCAGCACGCTGAGCCCTGATTCGGCCACCGTAACAGCGCTCGATAAAGGCAATCTCCTTGGCGCGGAGGTCCTCGCTCAACTCATAATTGACGGCCAGTCCGGCTGTTCCAGATGGCGAGGTCCCAATGCCTCCGGCACTACCATTGCACCCGGCCCCTCCTGCACCTCCAGGGCTGCCCCCCAGCAACGCAGCAGCCAGAGCCGCGCCCTGGCAAGGGCCCAAGGTGCCGGAACTGCCAGAAGTTGTGAAGCCATTAGCAGATACTGCCGATTTACTGTTGCCCGTGACAGCTCTCGAAGATCGGGGACTGCCGACGAGCGCGGTGGCGCAGTTTCCAGTCAGGTACACGGGAAGGGGGACAGATGAATTTGACAGTAATAAAGCCTGTTGTTTATAATGCTGAGAGTGGATGTGTTGTTGTCGCTGCTGTTGCTGCTTGCACGGGAGCTGTTGCTGAGCATGATAGTGATGGTGGTGGTGGGAGTGACAATTGGTGTGCACCTCTGCTTGGGGCTGGTTGGAATATTGGTGAGCAAAGGCACACAAAGTTTCTTGACATTGTGGATGCTGCTGATGGTTATGACGATGCTGGACACGTGTGTGTGCTTGTGTATGCGCACGAATGTGAGTATGAGTGTGTGTATGCGCAGGCAAGCCAACTTGAAGGAGTTGCTGATCGCATGATTGGCCCTGCATCTGTCCAGGGCAGTCAAGTTGGGAAGAGCCGAGAGTGTTCATGTAGGCAAAGTTTCCGTGACTTGGAGAAGCTGCGCTGCTAGTAGCAAAGGGGACAGACGGCATCAGAAGCGAAGTTGAGACGGGAGTAGACCTTGGAGCAAGCTGACTTGGCAAAGGATCGGGCAGAGCAAAATAACATAATTTTTTAAGGGTATCATGCCCAAAACCCTGAAAGATTAGATTAATCAATCAAAATACTTTATAGGCCAATTGAAGGCATTGAGAGTGAAGTGCTGCAGCTTCTATTTTGTTGGGTTTTTAAGTTGCGAAAAAGAGGTCGGGCCACCTTTAAATGAAATACTCTATTTTATATTATCATATAGCCCAGGGATTCCCAAACTGTGCGCCGTGGCGCCCTGTGGAGCTGCGAAATATTGTCAAAGTTTCATAATTAATTTAACCCAGATATTTGGCCTGACTAAACAAAAACGTGAGAGAAAAAGCTGCGTCTTCTCGATCGCGCCATATGATCGCACTAGGCAAATAGAGGTGTGTAGAACTTTCGCGACAGATTTTGAATTATCTGGAAGATCTTGCGAAAGTATATAAGCAAGCGTTGCCGGCTCGTTCAGTCAGTCGACTTATAATTTGAGTCTAGTGAAGTTAAACTCAGGGCTTCATACATAAATAAACAGTGACATAAATTAGTAACTGAGTTCATATTGTAATTTAGTTAGTTTTATATTACTATTGTTAGCCAACTAGCCCTAGCTTCAACTGTTTCTATCCTCTTTCTATATATAATATCAAGTCTATGACTTCCAGTCTCTTGTGTACCAACCCACAACATTGAACCTAATCAAAGCCAGCAGTACCACAACATTTGTGAGTTGGCATACAAGCGACTAGGGCATGGCAAGTCATAGACTTGG